TTCTGTGAGCGCTGCACCTGCCACGCCGGGGGGCGGGCGATGCGGCGGCCCCTCGGGCCACCCCCCGACCTTGGCGGCGCAGAGGCTATTGTATAGAGCGAGGACAAGCCACCGCGATAGCGGTTGGTTGTCAGCCCCTCCCCGCCCCATTCCTTTCCTCTTAGCATTTGCGTTCGGGCAATTTGGACGCACTCCTACTTGTCTTTCTCTCCCTCTTGTGCCTGTGTCGGGGTGTCGTGGGGGGCCTCTCGGGGGCCTCTTGGAGGCGGCATCGGCGCCTCTTGGGGGCATCTTGGGGTCTCGTAGGGTATCTTTTGGTCTTCGTTGGCGCGTATTGGGCGCCTCTTGGGGCTTCGCGGGGCCTCCTGGGGGCTTCTCGGCGCTTCTAGGAGCGCTTCTTGGGCCATCTTGGAGCCCTCTCGGGGCCGTCTTGCGGCCCTCTTGAACTTTCTTAGGCGGTCTTAGGAGCTTATTGAGCCATCTTGGAGCGCCGGAAAGCCGAAAATGCGAGAACCCCAAAACCGTTGCAACATCGACAATGATGGCGTCTTGGGGCTCTCTCGGGAGGCCTCTTGGAGCGCTCTTGGGGCCTCTTGGGGCCCTCTTGGGCCATCTTGGAACCATCTTCGGGCGCCTTGGAGCACTTTTGGCTTCGGCGATAAGAATATGGCGTAATTTGCAAGAGTTTACGGCTACGTGGACGCGAGCATTGAATACTTTATTGCGGTGCGTTGCCTCGGGGGCGCAAGAAATTACCAATTTGCAAGGGATTGTGGCCTCGAGGACGCGAAGATCGCGTAATGCACGATGGATTCTGGTTTCGGGGGCGCGATTATTTGGCAACTTGCGTGCTTCAGGGGCGCGAATATTGTTTAACTCGCGTTGGATGTTTGTTTTGGAGACGCGAATGTTGCCTTATTTACGAGGGTGTGTAACCTCGGGGGCACAAAACTTAAGTGATTTACTCGGGTCTGTTGCCTCGGGGGCGCAGGAATTGTTTGATTTGCGAGGGTGAATGCCTCGGAGACGCGAATACTGTGTAATCTACAAGGGCGCGTTGCCTCGTGGACGCAAGAATTAAATAATTTGCCAAGGCTAGCGGCCTCGGGGACGCAAGTACCGAATACATTACAAAAGGATCGCGGCCTCGGGGGCGCAAGCGTGGCGCAATTCACGGGGGGTCCTGTCCCCAGAGGCGCGAACGTAGCACAATGTATGGGAGACCGTGGCTTCGGGGGCGCACTTGCGTTGTTTGCGGTGCATGTTACGATGGATCGTGGACTCGGAGACGCGAGCGCGGTGCAACTTACGAGAGGTCGTGGCCTCGCGGGCGCCAACACAGTGCAATTTCCTAATCTACGAAGGATTATTGCGTCGGCAGCGCGAACCTCAGATACTTGTACGTGCCCCACGGCCCCGCAGGAATTCCGAGAACGTAACTCGGGCGTGGTAACCGACCCCTTGTCGGCCCCCCCCCTCGCGCAGACTTCAGCAGTTTACGATAGGAAACAGAAGGCAGGATTGTAACATTGGAGATTGGAAACTGGAGCTGGCGCAGGGAGCAGCAAGCTTAATCCTCGCAGCCTGATGGTCCATCAAGGGGGCCAGCAGGTATATCTCTCTCCCTCTATCTCTCTCCGTCTCTTTCTATTTGTTGTGTCTCCCTCTCTCTCTCTCTCACTACCTTTGTGTTCCTCTTTTTTTTGTTTGTTCTCTCTGACTCTCTATCTCTCTCTCTCTCTCTCTCTCTCTCTCCGTTCTAGCTGTCTCTACCCCCTCTCTCTCTCTCTTCTCTCTCTCTCTCTCTCTCTCTCTCTATCTATTTGTTTTTCTTTCTCTCTGCGTGTTCCTCTCTCTTTTTTCCCCACATCCAAAGTGGGGTTCTTGTTTTCTCTGGACACCCCGCGCAGGAACAGGAACACACACACACACCCACTCACACTCACTCACACTCTCTCATCATCAACCTCATCAGCATCATCGGTGATGCTCTCTCACATGCTTAGTCACTCACATACTCATCATCATCATCACTCGCACTCTCTCACACGCTCACGAACATCATCATCATCATCATCATCATCATCATCGCATCATCATCCTCATTCAATCATCATCCCACCACCACTCACAATCATCATCATCATCCTCATCATCGTTGGGTAAATTGTGAGGAAGTCTCAGGCGGGAGCCCCCTCCCTATGGGGCCCGCAGATCATGTTGGTAATCCGAGCGGGTCATCGGAAACCTGTAACTGTCGTCACTTTTGGGCTTCCCAGGCCTGAAAATGGAGGAAGTCTCAGGCGGGAGCCTCGTCTGTGAGTGAATTGGGAGGAAGTCTCAGGCGGGAGCTCCCTCCCTATGGGGCCCGCAGATCATGTTGGCAATCCGAGCGGGTCATCGGAACCCTGTAACTGTCGTCACTTTTGGGCTCCTCAAGCCTGAATTTGGAGGAAGTCTCAGGCGGGAGCCTCGTCTGTGAGTGAATTCTGAGGAAGGCTCAGGCGGGAGCCCCCTCCCTATGGGGCCCGCAGATCATGTTGGTAATCCGAGCGGGCCATCGGAACCTTGTAACTGTCGTCACTTTTGGGCTCGTCAAGCCTGAATTTGGAGGAAGTCTCAGGCGGGAGCCTCGTCTGTGAGTGAATTGTGAGGAAGTCTCAGGCGGGAGCCCCCTCCCAATGGGGCCCGCAGATCATGTTGGTAATCCGAGCGGGTCATCGGAACCTTGTAATTGTCGTCACTTTTGGGCTCCTCAAGCCTGAATATGGAGGAAGTCTCAGGCGGGAGCCTCGTCTGTGAGTGAACTGCGAGGAAGTCTCAGGCGGGGGGCCCCTCCCTATGGGGCCCGCAGATCATGTTGGTAATCCGAGCGGGTCATCCAAAACCTGTAACTGTCGTCAATTTTGGGTTCTCGCGCTGCCAGAACGCAGCTCCCAGGCCACATTTTGGACGCAACAAGGAAGTTTTTGGGCTCCTCAGGTCGCCGAGGTGCTGCGACAGGGCGCCGAAGGCGCCGACGACGACGGCCAGGCCGAGGCGCGGGCGCGGAGCTTGCTGATGTTCAGGCCCAGCGAAAGGGAGTTCACATGGCAGAGCTCGGGGGCGCACAGCGTGCGCCGCTCGGGGTTCACCCTGACGCACGCGTCCTACCTGACCTCCACGCTGTCGCAGGGCCAGACGCTGCGCAAGGGCGTCACCATCGACTGCGCGAGAGACGAGGACGCTGGCCGCACGGGCATGTCGGACGAGCAGTGGTGGCTGCACCTCTACGTCATGTTCTCCCGCGCCACGTGCATGCGGAACATGCTGATCCTGCGGCCGCCGCCGCGAGAGTTCCTGGAGTGCGGGCCGCCGGCGTCCCTGCGGAAGGCGCTCCTGGAGTTCGACAAGAGAGCGGTTTTGTCCAGGGCGGAGGCGAAGCAGCTCGCGGCAGAGCTGGGCTTCGTGCTGCCTTCCGCCTGAGCGCGGCTGCGCCTCGCTCGAAGCCCGCGGGGTTGTCCCAACGGCTTGGTCTTGCGCGCCAACGGCTCGCGGGGTTGTCCCGACAGCCTGGCCCGCGGGGTTGTCCCAACGGCTGCGCGACGTGACCAGTAGAGAACGCGCCTGTGCTGGCCGTGGCGGCGACGGCGCCGAGGAACATCGACATGCGCGCTCATGCAACAGGAAGGGGAGGAGGTGGCGGGGCGCGGAACAAACAGGGGGGCGAGGATGGGGACAACGCAAGGAGTGGAAGGGGGGCCCGCGCCAAGGCGAGAGGAAATATACGCAGAAGAGACAGCCAGGACGCCTCACCAACCACGAGGACGACGGTGATGGCTTTTTCCAGATTCGCCCAGAGGGTTCTTATGTGGGGTTCTTCCGTCGGAGTAATTTGTTGTTTTTCTTTTTCTCTCTCTCTCTCTCTCTCTCTCTCTCTCTCTCTCTCTCTGCGTTTCCCTCTCTCTCTCTCTCTCTCTCTCTCTTTCTCTCTCGTTCCCTCTGTGTGGAACCCTGTCCACCCTCATGCACATAAATCGCATTGCTGACTCCGTATCCCGTCTCTTCCTGCTTTCGGATTGCCTCTATTCCACCTCCTCCCAACCCTTCCGTATCTTTCATCTTCATGTTAGCTCTCATGGTCATGACCCGTCTCGATGCATCTCTCGTATGTGATTGAATTCCGCAACCGTTGTATGTTCGACGTCCAGCTCCCAATTCCGCGTCACCATCTTCATCGTCATCAGAATCACCATCATTTGTACCAAGAGAAGCATCATCATCATCATCATCATCATCATCATCATCATCATCGTCATCATCATCATCAGCATCATCACCATCCCCATCGTGAGCGTAACCATGCTCAGATCCTGCACTTACTCTGCAGCATCCTTCTACTCCCTGCTCCTCCTCGTCCTACTCCGTCCTCATCATCGTCATCAGCAGCAACATCATCATCATTATCATGTTAAGCGGCGTCACCGCCACCACCACCATCGTCATCATCACCATCACGACCATCAGCAGAGTCATCATTCATCATCATCCTCAGCGTCATCATCATAATCAGCAGCGTCATCCTCATCGGTCCCCCTGCTCCTGATCACCATCCGTCGCATCCTCATCCTTCCACGACGACGTCCACGACTTCCTCCTCCTGCTCCTCCACCTCCTCCTCATCCTCCTCCTTCTCTTGTTTTTTATTTCACATGGAGCTCCGCCCGGGAAAAGAGGCCAGTCCGCCGGGGAAAAGGCAATTCGGAAAGGAGAAGGTGGAGTTGCGAGGTTCCGACACCTCTCCTTGATCCCAAGCTGTCTTTTACAGTCCCGGGGCCTGGTGGGGGCTCCCAGAGGCCGAGCATTGTGAACCCAAGTCCGTCATGTTTTGCCGTGACCCGACGGGGTCTAGGTCTTTTTGTTTTCCCTTCCTCCTCCCCTCCTCGTGGGTCGTGGCCTCCCCTCCTCCTCCCCTCCTCCTCCCCCCCTGTCATTGTTCTCCCCTCCTCCCCTCCTCCTAGGTCGTGGCCGGTCAACTGGGCGCAGGGTTTCACGCCTGGCGCGGCCCTGCTGCTTGAGGAGCCCCGGGCAGGCCGCAGAAAGGGCTTGCGTGATGCGCTCGAGGAGCAGGCAGGGAGGGAAAGGATCCGGGACGGAGAGGAGAAGGAGGAGGAGGAGGAGGAGGAGGAGGAGGAGGAGGAGGAGGAGTAGGAAGAGGGAGAAGGAGGAAGAGGGAGGAGGAGCAGGAGGAGGAGACGGACGAGGAAGAGGGAGAGGAAGAGGAAGAGGTAGGAGCGGCCAGGAAGCGGGCGCCGGCGACGGGGAGGGCGACTCACGACCAGGGGGGAGGAGCAGGAGGAGGACACGGGACCAGGAGCAGAACGAAAGAGAGCGAGAGGAGATTCGCACCCCTTGGTCGGCCTCCAGCTCCCCCGCCCTGGAAGAGGGAGGAAACTGGGGGGGAGGGAGGCAGGCGAGGAGAGAGAGTAGGGGGAGGAGGAGGAAGAAGCGAGGAGGAGGAGGAGGAGGAGGAGGAGGAGGTCTGGGAGCATCCGTGCTCCCAGGGGACCCCCGGAGACTCCAGAGGCCAAGACCTCGGGCGGCTCCCAAACAGAGCTTCGCCGGGCCAGGAAGCGGGCGCCGGCGACGGGGAGGGCGACTCGCGACCAGGGGGGAGGAGCAGGAGGAGGACACGGGACCAGGAGCAGAACGAAAGAGCGAGACGAAAGAGCACAACGAAAGAACGAAAGATCAGGAGCAGAACGAAAGAGCGAGAGGAGCAGAACGAAAGAGCGAGAGGAGGTTCGTACCCCTTGGCAGGCCTCCAGCTCCCCCGCCCTGGAAGAGGGAGGAGGCTGGGGGGGAGGGAGGCAGGCGAGGAGAGGGACTAAGGGGAGGAGGAGGAAGAAGCGGAGGAGGAGGAGGAGGAAGAAGCGGAGGAGGAGGAGGAAGAGGAGGAGGAGGAGGGAGGAGGGGGAGGATGAAGAGGAGGAGAGGAGGGAGCAGGAGGAGGAGGAAGAGGAGCAGGAGGAGGAGGTGAACAACGACGAGAGCGAGGAGAAGAAGGAGGACGAGGATGAGGATGGGGAAGAAGAGGAGGAGGAGAAGGAGGAGGAGGAGGTCCCCAGAAGCCCCTGCATGTCCGCCCCCCCGCCAAAAAGAACAAACAAACACGCCCAGGAACCTCGATCCTCGACCCCCGAGGAGGGAAATCGTGAGGAGGACGACGGGGACGAGAAGGGGGGGGCAAGGAGGATCCGTGCAGAGCAGCCGCCCTTCCGCGAGAAGCGGACTCGGCGAAAGGCGACGTCGGCGTCGGATTTCGGATGGCAGTCTCAAGCCGCCAGGCTTGGTTCTGAGCTCGCTGCGTATCAGGGTTCCGTGGCATCGGCTTGAAGCCGGCTGCCGCGAAGTGGAGCGAAGACGGGGAGGAGGAGGGGGAGGAGGCTTCACATCTCAGGGACAAGGTCGAAATGGAGGCAGGGAAGGAGGGATGAAGTGAGGGGGAGAAAAAAGATGAGAAGGACCAGGAGAAGAAGGCGTAGGGGAAGGAGCTAGAAGAAGGAGGAGGTGGAGGAAGACCAGAAGAGGAGGAGGAGGAGGAGGCGGAGGAGGAGAAGGAGGAAGAGGAAGGAGGAAAGAGGAGGACCAGGAGGAGCGAGAGGAAGAAGGAGGACGAGAAGGAGGAGGAGGAAGAGGAGGAGGAGGAGGAGGAGGAGGGAGGAGGAAGAGGAGAAGGAAGAGGGAGGAGGAAGAAGAGGAGGAGGAAGAGGAGGAGGGGAAGGAGGAAAAAGAGGAGGAAGGAGGAGGAGGAGGAAGGAGGAGGAAGGAGGAGGAGGACAAAAACGAGCAGGAGGAGGAGGCTTTGTGCCCGGCGCCGCCCCGCTGCTGCAAGGAGCTCGGCATTTCGGCCAGTGCCTCCAAGGACGGCGACTTGCTGCCAGCGGCTCCTCCTGTCTTTACGTGATGCAAACATCTGCGGTATAGCTGTTGCGCCCCTCCTTATCCTCATCCTCTTCTTCCTCCTCCGCCCCTTTTTCTTCTCCTCCACCTCCTCCTCCTCGTCCTCCTCCTCTTTCGCCTTCTCCCTCCCCCCCTCCTCCTTCTCCTTCTCATTCCTCCCTCCTCCCCCTTTTTGTTCCTCCCTCGTGTTCTAGGCGGAGCCGTTTGATGGGTGGATCCGTCTCCTCCTCCCCTCCTCCTCCCCCTCCTCTGCTTCCTCCTCCGCCTCCCCTCCTCCTCCGCCTCCTCCTCCTCCTTTTATTCCTCCTCCTCCTCCTCCTCCGCCTCCTCCTAATGTTCCTCCGTTCCTTATGCTTATGAAGAACTCCCTGTCGCACCCCGAGACACGTTGGTAGGTCGGTCTGGGCGTTTCGCCTGAGACTTCCACATCATGTATGATCCGTAGGCTTATGGTTTGCAACAGGTTCACGAATGAAGGGCGGGTCGCTTTCAAAATGAGGTTCTCGCCTGCGCAACGCAGATTCGTTTGATAATTGACAGAGCTTCACAGGTGGAGGGCGGGTTGTTTTCAAAACATTGCCCTTGCAGCAGTGCCGCCCACGCTTGTTTTGGCGAGAGTTCCAAGAGTTTCACATATTGAGAGCGGTTCGATTCCAACATGTGGCCACCGCCAAAGCGCCGTGCTCATTCGCTTCGAAAGTTGGAAAGAGCTTCACGGATGGAGGGCGGTTCCTGTTCAACATGTGGCTCCCGCCTGAGGGCCACGTACATTCGTTTCAAGAATGTACAACCGATTCAATGGCTTTCATTGTTAAGGTACCAGAAATGGTGTTTGGGAGCGATGTAGGGTTGTCAGGGCGCAACAGATGACCCACCCGCGACCAACCCGCGATCCACCCGCAACCACCCGCGACCCACCCCGCAACCCACCCGCGACACACCCGCGACCCAAACCGCGACCCGCCCGAGGCGCAACCGCGACCCTCCCGCGATCCACCCGCGACCCAGCCCGCGACCCACCCGCAACCCACCTGCGACCCACCCGCTACCCACCCGCGACCCACCTCGTGACCCCCCCCACACACACACATACACACACATACACACATCGGTTTTAAGAAAAAATCGGCGCTTGCGGCGGGCTCACTGCATAATTTGCAAAAGTTCGGCGCCTGCGGCGGACTTGTTCAGAGCCTCGCAGACGTCTGACGTCCTCGCCGCCCCCTTTACTCTTTTCCGCAACTGCGGGGTGCTACGTATCATGCCATTACACTCGCCACTTGGCAACGCAGCGTGGCGGGAAAGCCGCCCGTTCCTTCCTATCCGTCACTTGGGGCAACGCCTGGAGGGCGTCGGCATATAACAACGTTCGAGGGGCGAAACAAGGCGATTCTGATCCAGTCGCCGCGTCGGAGAACATACAAATCTATTATACTCCCCAATGCAACGGGCCAGAACAAACATGATTTCACTCGAGCGCCGGGGGAGGATGAGGCCCTTTTTTCAGCTCGGCGGAAGGCGAGAGACTCGAATGCCATGTGGGGGGGTCCAGCGCGCGGGAAAAGGAGAGACTCGAGTGGGGGGGGCTTCCTCAGCGCGTGGTAGGTAAGCAGAGAGAATTCAATGCTGGGAGGGCCCCTCTACCCCCCGCGTTGTGTTTGTTGGGTATCGCTCTGCCGATTCAATTGTGAGGAGTTCTCAGGCGAAACGGGTGCCCGACCGGGCGGTCTAAGGTTCCCCCTCGTCTCCCTTGTGGGACTCTCTTGTGGTCTCTCTTTACTAGCATTCGGACCCTCTAGTGAGTCGCTATTAGGGAATGATCTGGGAAGGCCATGGTGGTGGTGCTCGTGGTGAGCTTCGCGGCCACCACCCTTGATTCGGCGACGCGTATCCAGCGCGTGCTCATCTCGGAGATGGGCGGTCTAGTTGCAGGCGCGGCTGGGCCGCGGTGGAAATGGATGGGCTGGACTATGCAGAATATTTACGTGGCCGGCGTATTGTCGGCCCTTCCAGCGTTCGCCCTCGCCAACTCACGCATCGTGGATTCCAGAGGATGAAAAGGTACGGGTACCGCTACCCTTCCCTCATGTTCGCCGTGTTGAGCCTCCAGGGAGACCCTCGTCGCCAGGGCTGGATGCGCTGGGATTCTGGTCAGAACGCACCCTCTGGAGAGGTCCGAGATGTAGTGGTATCGGTACTTTTCTACCTCCCCAGGATTCCCTCTGGAACGTCTTTGGGGCGACGAACCAGCTGCTCGCGTGCCTCTGCCTCATCACGGTCGCGATCTACGTCTGGCGGTACCACAGGTTTAACGCACTGTATGCGCTCCCCTACGTGCTTCCGGCGCTGTTTCTGACGGTCTTCATTTTCTGGGCGCTCGCGCGAACGGCCGCCATCTACCTCAGCCCACACCAGAGGGTGGACGAGCACATCGACTGGTTGTCGGAAGGGAGAGCGAATATATATATATATATATATTATATATATATATGATATTTATATCTATATATATATATATATATATATTCGCAATGCCGATCATTTCTCGCAGGTCTTCGAAGGCGTTCGAAGAGGAGGGGGAGGAGAAGGAGGAGAAGGAGGAGGAGGAGGAGGAGGAGGAGCGACGACGAGCAAGAAGAAAAAGACGAAGAACATGTATGATCATGTGGGGGGCTACCATTTATATATATATATATATATATATATATATATATATGACACGCCGCCGTCGGGAGCCCGGCGGCGTGCTGCTCCCCTCGTTCTCTTCCGCAGGCCTGGCGCCTCTTCCGCGGTGGCGCGCCGACGGGCTTCCCGCCACGGGGGCGTGGCATCGTTCGGACGTGTGCATTTTTTCTTTTCGGCGAGGGCCATCTAGGATCGAGGAGCATCCTTGATCATTTGGCGAAAAAGCCACGCACGAAACCGAAAAAAACAGGGAATGGACGTCCGAGCGATGGCCAGCAGTGACGCGCTGACGGGTTTCCCACCACGAGGGCGTGTCATGCCCAACCCGACAGGTCGGGGATGTTCCACTCAGAGGAGGCCAGCTCCCGACCCGCCTCGCTCACCCTGCATACCGCGGCCGCCAGTGCGGGTGCTCCCCGGGCATCCCGCCTCGCACCTTCGACGGACGACGATTGCATGCCGCGGCTGCCAGGCTCGGAGTGTACCGGTGCTCCCTGCCGGTGGGTAGCCCGCCTCGCGTTCTCGGGCGGGGATCGCTCGAAGCAGAATGAATGAAAACTGTATTTTGCAGTTCCCACAGGTTCACCACCGTGCCGACCTACCCCAGCATCGTCATCGTCTTCGCCATCATGCTCTTCGGCGTGGCCATCTACTTTGAGGTCGGGCTGTACCTGCTGGGCGGCAGGTGAGCGACGCAAAGAAACGGGGTCGTCCGACATTGGCGCGTAAGCTGCCCGCATGAGGTCGCGCGCAAGCGCCCTCGTCTCCAGTGCAGCATGCCGCGCGGGCGGCCCGCGTACGCCGCCGCGTAAGGTTGCTGTGCCATCTCGCGCAAGGCCCGCTTTTGATCGTTGCTCAGGTGGCGCACCGACGCGCCGGTCTCCTGGGCCACCGGCGCCGTCGAAGCCCCTGCCGCGGGGGCGCCCGGAGAGGGCGGCGGCGGAAGGGGCTTGGAGGAGGTACTGCACGGCGTGGGTTGCTGCTGACGGCGCGCTTCGCCGCGGGCTTCGCGCGCCCGCCCTGCAGCGACGGCCCCTCGATCCCCAGGCCCCCCCTCCTCCTCCTCCTCCTCCTCCTCTCCTCCTCCTACTCACCTCCTCCTCCCTCCTCCTCCTCCTCCTCCTCCTCCTCCTCCTCCTCCTCCTCCTCCTCCTCCTCCTCCTCCTCCTCCTCCTCCTCTCTCCTCCTCCTCCTCCCCTCCTCCTTCTCCTCCTCCTCCTCCTCCTCTCCTCCTCGTCCTCTTGCTCCCCTCCTCCTCCTCCTCCTCCTCCTCCTCCTCCTCCTCCTTCCTCCTCCCCCTCCTCCTTCTCCTCCTCGTCCTCCTCCTCTTCCTCCTCCCCCTCCTCCTCCCGGCCGTAGCCATTTTGGCTCAAGCCTGCCTTGGGCGCTAGGCGGGCTAGGTGCTCGCGTTTGCCTCGCTCTTCTGCTTCTGCGCTCGAGAGCGGCTCATTCTCTGTCCCCTTCGCCGCGTACCGCGATGGCGGGGATGGACGACGGCACCAAGGATGCTACGGCGGGCAGCCCTCAGCGGTGGCAGCCCTCATCACGCCGCGCGCTGGAAGCCCTGCAGCTTGGGCAGACAGCGGCGCGCCGTGCCGCGCGAAAGCGCGCCCAGCTGGCGTGCGAAGCCGCGCTGGATCGTCGTCGTGGGCGTGGGCTGCTGCCAGGTTCCTGGCAGGATCGCGAGGCTGCAGCTCGCCCCGCCCTCCGCATGGCAGTTTCTGGCAAGAGAGTACCAGGAATTGCGAGGCGGCGGAGGAACGCAGCCTGGCACGCCGCCGAGGCCCCGCGCGGCGGCTTCACCTACGCATCGCTGGCGGAGCTCTCGGAGGCGGCCGCTGGACCTCGCCTTGGAGGCGCCTCGCGCGCCGCTGGCGTCCAGGAGCTGGATCTGGCCAAGGTCGTCCCGGCAGGAAGCCTGGCCCCGGGCTGCTGGAGCCTCCCACCCAGGAACACCCTGAGGCGTGACGCTCCCGAGTTCGTGCCGCTGTTCTTCGACAGTGCTGTCGGCCCACCCGCCGATGGTGTCCAGCACTCGACGTCGGAGGAGAGCATCGTGCAGCAGCGGCACGAGTCTTCCGACCAGTCTGCCGAGAACGTGGCCGACGCCAAGCCCGAGATTAAGACCGCTGTTCAGTTCAGGGCGGCGGCGCTGGAGACGTTCGACACGAAGCCTTTCAACGACGGCGACCACGTGGATTTGCAGTCCGACTTCGTCGTCGCTTTTCGCTCCCTCGCCACGAGTGCCGATCCTCGTCCTGGAGGCCGCGCGCGTGGTAAAGGATACTGCTGAACCTGACCTGGGCGTTGCGCTTAGGCTCACTGTTTTTATTCATCGACGCCTCTCTTTCTTAGATTACAGTCCTTTGGTGCCTTATCCGTGAATATATCTGAATAATATTGCAGATTGCGCCGCCTAGCGACTCTCTGCCTGGGGTCGGTGAGGGACAGCCTCAACCTATAGTCAGTCCGCAGCCAGTGGAATTGTGATTCAGCATTCGTTTGGCACACTCTCGCTTGCAATCTCGAGGCTTCGACAGAGACGGGCTGCAGCTACAGAGGCTGCAGGTATCGGCGCTAGCCACGTCGGAAGGCTATCGCTTCTGCCCGCGAGCAAAAAAAAACTCCTCCTCCCCCTCCTCCTCCTCCTCCTCCTCCTCCCCCTCCTCCTCCTCCTCCTCCCTTCCTCCTCCTCCTCCTTCCTCCTCCTCCCCCCCTTCATCCTCCCCACACCCCTTTCCCTCCTCCTCCTCCTCCTCCTCCTTCCTCCTCCTGTCCTCCTCCTATCCTCCTCCTCCTCCTCCTCCTTCCTCCTCCTCCTCCTCCTCCTCCTCCTCCTCCCCCTTCACCTCCTCCTCCTGCCTCCTGCCTCCTCCTCCTCCTCCTCCTCCTCCTCCTCCTCCTCCTACTCCTCTTATTACCTATTACCTAACTTAAGGGCCGATTCCACTGACTGGGGCCCCCGCTCAGAAGAGCACGAACGGGACGGACTTGGCCTGGCCGTCCACGTTGTCGGTGCGGGAAGAAAGACAGAACTCATGCATCCATCCCAGAGCCGCCTGCCCGCCCCGCGCTGGCCTCCGAAAGCGAGACACAATGCAAGAAGCCACTTACAAGGCATAACGTGAACGTTTCTCTCAGGGGTCCTCGAAACACCGTGACTTGAATCCGAGAAAGCCAATCGCGAATAGGGGGCACTTGTGAAAACATACATAACAATGTCTGACTCCACCACAGAAAATTATGTCATGGACCTTGCTCGCGGAGTTCAGGATGAACATATGTCACGCAGAACTGGTCCTGGCAACTCACGCTGTCGCATAAGAAAATCTGGCCTCCAAACGGGATGGTGCTCTGACAGGCCGTGCAAATTGTGGGAAGGTCGTCATTCACCTCACTCTCCAGCACGTGGCCCTGTGAGCAGCACCTGCGATGAAGTGCCACGATGTTCCGACCAAGGGAAGCGAGAAGCGAAGATGGTGAAGCCGTCACCACCGTCTCGTGGCTTGCCTGTACCTCCTGTGTGCTTTTGTCCAGACCAATATTGACGGTCCCACCACAAACGTCTGCCTTTCTATTCCCTGCCACGGGGTGGGGGCCAGGCTCAGCCCAAAAATCTCCGGAAACCTCGCTATCTGTTCCTGGCTTCACTGCACCAGAAGTCTGAGACGAAGGCGGGGCCACCTCGCAAGGCTCCCAAATCCCAGGCCTGCCGAGCTGCTCCACAATCGGGTCGCCCAAGTCTTGCGGAGCGAAAGGGGCAGCGTCGGGATTGAGAGTCGACACCTTTGGCAGCCTGGCACCTTTTTGCAGTTTCCTGAGCTCCTTGGTCGATGCAACAGAAATCCATAACCCAGGCGGCGCCGAGGAATGTAAGGCTACGTTCCGTCGAAGCACAGCCGAATGCTCAGGAAGGCGTCCATGCAGGAGGTCCGCGAGAGCTGGAACCACTGCGAGAACTCTATCTGCAAGAGCGGGATCGCCGAAAAAAACCACAACCGATTGGAACAGACCACCATACTTACCCTGAAGCTCCTTCAGCTCCTCAGTAAGCCGATGCACAGCCCGATCAGCCGAAAGGCGGGCCCAATCTCGGCGAGCTCGACGCTCAGCAGCAGTACGTCGTGGTGAAACTGGGCATGCATCACCCATGTCCTCGCGTGCCAGAA